TATGAACTACCCTAAAATAGATGGATGAACTTCTATATTGTTTTAACAACTATCGATGTTTCAGAATAAATGTTTAATACGCAAATTTGACTTAAAGACCTATTGTATGTGCATTGAGAGTCATAGGTGCATTTCGACATACTTTGTGTATGATGGTTAACGATCGATTTTGTTTAATGCATATGTTGCATTTTCGTATCAATACTATGTGTACTTTCGATACTATGTGTGCATCCATTGTATTCATAATAAGTTTGTGAATTACCATTTTGGCACTATGTGTGCACCCATGGTATTCATAATGAGTTTGTGAATTACCATTTCGTTACCTTAGTATAGTGTTGATGTCATCACATAACCTATACTTTTGTTTAGCACTTAGGTGCAACTCATGTACCTTGCATTCTCATTCGACATACATTGGGAAAATAAATGAATACTTTGGAAAATATTGATTGATAGATATGCTGGGCATACTAAATATTGTTTCGCAAGTTATGTTAAAGAAATTTGGTTTACCAAGTCAGTTTTATGTATTATTATTATTTATACGATTAAATTTGTATTTTGATATTTTATGATATGCTTATATTTTGGTTAAGCCTATTTTATATTATTATGCCTCACTAAGTGAATACTTAGCGTGTGATGGTTTCACTCGTAGGTAATAGCATACGAGCGGAGTAAGGAGTGCAGTTGACATCGTAAATTAAAGGTTGCCTCATCAGTAACTGTATGACATTTATGTCTAATTTTGATATTACTAGATGGCATGTAATAGATTTATGATGATGCTCTGGAATGTATTTGAGTTATGATGTGGTAGTATTTATTATATTAGAACTTTAAGGTTATTTTACATAATATTAGTTAATGAACATTTTATCATTATTATTATATTAAAATATTTTATTTATAGAAACAAAATTTTACTGGTTTTCAATTACAGAAATGTTTTAAAAGTCATGTGACATATGTGACTCGTGTATTGGGACGTATACGGGAAATGAGTGTTACACATATATACTTGTATTAGAAAACATAAATAAGAGATTATGCTTTTATGTCAATAATAGGGTCATACGCTTAAAATCAGAGGAAAAAATCTCATTTTTAAATCAGAGAAAATCAAATGAGCATAGATCACACTAGTGAGCCCAATTTATTCTCAAGAGTACTTAATAATTATAAGAAAAATGGAAGGAAGAACTTCGGATAGACTTTGAACTGATTTCATGAATGAGATCTCTATTAAAGGGCTCGATAGCTAATAGATCAATTGAATATTCGAGAGTTGATACATTATGAAAATTTATGATTTAAGATTTGGAACATCAGAAAAGTATTTAAGAACTGTGACTCAAGACTATTCAAGATTTTAGATATCTTAGAAAAGATTCCAATATTCAGACATGTATGGGTATTTTAGTCACTTTAATTCTCAAAGAAACTTTAATAAAACAACATAATAAGGATCAACGATAATTAATAGTATTGGATACTTCTAATGACTTATTCGACTACCAAGTCAAATTGAACTAACAGATCTCATCACTATGGTACTTACTAAGAAATATTATAAGAACGCTTCACAGATGTCGATTCCTTATATCGAATGCACTATGAAGTTAAACAGTTCACCTTCACGAGTCTTTCTTCAACAAATCCTAAGGAGACATAAACTTTATTCATGTACTATCTATCATTATTCTGTAGTGTAAGAGTATTAAGAAGCCGACATAATCCTTATGGACATTATAGTGTTTTAAGCTTTACCGATATTTTTAGAACTTATCCAAAGACATTCACTTAATCCAAGTCATGAGAGTATTTTAGTCATTCTAAAATTCGAGGGTATTTTAGTCATTTCAAAGCTCGAGGTATTTCGGTCATTTTTAAATAAATTTAGTCATATGGAGTGCTCTCGGTAAAATAGTCTTCAAGAGTTACTCAGAAATAAAAAATTTAGATCATGCTTTTTCAGAGGTTAAAAACTGACTGTTAGAAAATTTTCATGTAGATCAAGAGTTTAACGGGTAATCGATAATCCTATCAATCAAATCTTATTCTTAGGTTAATTCTACTAGTACAGGCAATATGTGCCCTTCTTAAACTTTAAGGGTATTTTTCGTTATTTCTCATTCAAATATTTATGGTATAAAAATCCTAACAGGAAAAAAAATCAGAATTTATAGTTTAGAGGCTAACTTTACTCAACTTAAAATTTATACTGGTTCCCTAGTTATTTATGCGGGTCATTCGAGTCTTAATTAGTTTACTAACATTATACCGAAATTAGATTTAGTTCAAAATAACCAACCATAACACCAATCTCACTCATATTTATTCATGCACTGACCAATTATCAACATGTACCATAAAGCATGCATATGGTAGAAAAAATTACTTCGATTTCGAGCTTCATCGGCCGATCATTTACCACCACTCGATCCCTCTTGAACTTAAATTTCACTTCCCATAATATCTCTGATACATGGCAAAAGAATTCCATTTAAATGCAAAAGTCAGATCGAATCGGAAAATAAAATGTTGGAAAAAAATTATCGAGTTTAAATTTAGCAAAATGGACTGCAAAAACAAACTCAAGACGTAAAAAAACATTAGGATATATGGTGTCGAAAAAAATCAACGGTCAGTCAACAACGGTAACCAATCAATAGTGGTCAATAGAAGCTCGGCTCGTCTCGGCTCAGCTCAGCTCAAGCAGACTGGTTCAGACCCCCTAGGCGACTGACGAAGCCCATGCGCAAGAGGCGACGCGTGAGGTGCATACGACAGCTTACTGTGGTCAGACATCACCAATTTTTCAAGAATTCAATTTTAGGGGATTTTGAGTCACTTATTGGTTTTTTTTGCGACTGAGAATGACGGAAAGCCAAAACACGAACGACCGAAACTTCGTTCTCACCCTTCCTCACGTCAATAATGTTCAAGATTCCAAAGACACCAACCAACTCCTCACAACTCCAGGAACACCATGGTGTCGGCGGTGTCGATAATAGATGCTCAAACGAGAACGAAACATCATTTAAAGATTCTTAAAACAAAATTATCAAAAAAAAAACTTTAAGAGAGAAATCTTTCCAAAAATGAATTTTTTCATATTTGGGGCTTTTAAACCCAACTTTTTTGGAAATGACAAAATCATGCCATAGGTCCCTAAGCTTTTGTTGCTTCATGAATTTGGATCGAATTTAATTAAAAATTCAATTTGGTTCCCAAATTTAACTAGAATTTCAATTTAATTCTCATAATAAGTTTAAGAAAAAATTTAGCCACTAAATTGGGGTGTAACAAATCCGAAAAAATAACCCAAGCTGAAAGTAACTCGAGCCAAAATTAACCAGAATCGAAAGTAACCTGAACTGAAAGCAACCAAAACCGAAAGCAATCTGAGTTTAATTTACCCAACTCTGATTCAAGTCGTACATTGACCCAATTTTTAACCTGATAAATGAGTAAAAGTGACTGAGTAATTTATTGTTATTATATATTTGTTAATAATATGATTAATAGTAAAATGATGCATGTTTTATTTCCTTTTTTATTATATTACTAGTTAATTACCACCTTTGATAATATTTTAATAACAACAGTGCGACGTTTGATACTAATTTAATAGTTTGTTTTTATTTTCTCTCGTTTAAAAGATCATCTTGATCCGATAATTTCTTAAAAAATTAAAAATTATTTGATATGAAGTACTATAAAGTCAAGTTACTATCCAAAAGTTTATTTTATATGATTAGCTTTAATTATCATCACTTAGATGATATATTATAATTGACTTTAAAAGAAAAAAGGTTTACTTTTTTACAAACACAAATTAACATGAAACACAACTCTCAAATAAAGAGAATTCACTTTAATTAAAACCATCAAAGTTATTTTAAATAATAAATTAATTTAAACATAGTTAAAATTTTAATAAAAATATTAAATTTATAATAAAAATATTAAAAAAATTACTTAAATATTATTTTTTAAATTTTAATAAAATATTAAATTTATAATTAAACAATAAACATATGATTAAAAATTTAAATTGAAAATGAAATTTATAATAGCAAAAGTTTTTTACTAAATAGTTATCACTATGAAGTTTTGAATCATATCAATATAAAATTCAAATTACAAACTCTAACATGTATTATAAGATCAAGTTTGGGTCAAATTATATCTCTAAATGATGATTTAATTTCAAATTATTGAAAGATTGAAAGTTGAAATAGAGCCTTAATGATAAGATTGACAAACAAATAGACATTTTTTTACATGAATATATATATATATATATATATATATATATATATATATATTTAATTATACTCATACACTATTCAACCCGGATTAACTCGGTCCAAAGATTGACCTAAACTGAAAATCAATTAATCTAACATTGACTAAACCAAAAATCAACCGATCTGATATTAACCCGATCCAAAAATCAACCAATCTTATATTAACCCAACCCAAAGCTAATTAATCTGAAATTTACCTGACCTGAAGATCAACCGATCCGATATTAACCCGATCCAAAAATCAACCAATCTGATATTAACCCAACCCAAAAGCTAATTAATCTGATATTTACCCGACCTGAAGATCAACCAATCCGATATTAACCTAAACTGAAAAACAACAAACCCAAAAGTTGAGCCAACCCAATACCCAAACCGACCCAATTTACTATACACCCAAACTTAATCCGAACCAAACTCGATCCAATCCGAACAAAATCAAACCGAATATAATCTAGATTCGAAATAACCTGATCCCAAATAACTCGACATAAACCCGATCCAAATGACCCCGATCTGAGTGACCCGTTTGCAACCTCTAATAATGATGAGCTATTTTGAAGGTAACCTCAAACTATAATCTTGTTTGACTAAACTTCCAAACCATTAAATGTAAATATAAAAACAGTATTTCCGATTAACATGATAAGGTGTCGAATTAACAAAAAACTGCTTACATTTACTGATTTGTTAAAATATTGATTATACAAAATGTTAAAGGCTAAATAATACTCGGGCACCCACAAACAAATTGAAGTCCTTATCTGTAGAGAATTCGACAAAGCTATCTTCTCATCTGTGTGAAAAGCTCAGGTGGTTTTCCAGTTTGTCCACCACCTCCAAAGGCTGAGAAACCACCAGCATTTGTCGGTTGGCTACCGAAAGCACCGAACCCACCACCCCCTGCACAGATAGTTATGTAGCGTAAGTCACGACTCGCGATCGAAAAAAATATGCGGAGCAAAACAAGTAAAAAAAATAAACACCAAATTTCACCTGTGGCAGCAGCAGCAAATCCTCCAGTGCCGCCAGAACCACCACCTGAAGCCAAGCCACCAAATCCACCACCACCTGAAGCCAGACCACCGAATCCCCCACCACCTGAAGCCAGACCACCGAATCCCCCACCACCTGAAGCCAGACCGCCGAATCCCCCACCACCTGAAGCCAGACCACCAAAGCCACCAGTAGTAGAGGCCAAACCAGCAAACCCACCTGCTGTTGCAGCGTTAGAGAATCCAGGAGCAGATTGAGGACTTGCAAAACCACCACCAAAACTGCTCCCGGAAGCAAAACTACTTCCTGATAGAGCAGTACCAAGCTGCCGTGACTGCCCAAAAGCACCAAGAACTGACCCCAAAGCCTGTTGTCCAGCTCCAAGCTGTGAGGGTTTGCCAAAAGCACTTTGAGCAGGAGCTTGAACAGGTGTGCTAGAAGCAAAGCCACTAGTGAACGCACCAAAACTTGCAGGTTGAGCCGATTGGGAAGGCTGTGGAGGTTGGAAAGTAAAAGATGCAGGTTTAAACAACTCTCCAGTATGAACAGTTGAGGTGAATGAAGAGGTAGCTGGACTTGTCACCACAACTCCAAATGGAGCGCCAAATGGGTTAGGCTTAGGAGCAGTTGGATTAGGAGTTGAGCCAATTCCAAAGCTACTTAAGCTTCCCAAGCCAAGTTCAGCCATTTGGTTTGTCTCGGGAGCCTCCTCCTCCATCTCATCCTCTTGTGTGACATCCAATGTTCCGCTCTTTCCATCAATGGTGCTAATGCTAGTTGACAATGGTGCTGAAAGATTATCTCCAATAGAAGGCTGCAGTGGCTGAGCATTTGATGCCAAATTAGTTACAGGACCTGCAACATCAATGATGCTGGTTTGGCTTCCAGATGACACTCCAGTAGGAGTTACACTTTTCATTGGAGATGATACTGCAAATTGAGGCTTCAAGCCCAATTCTGCTGCTGGAAGTTCATGTTGCAGAGGTGGTGTCTGTATCATCGAATCTGAATCTTTTGTAAAGCCAAGCATCTCCTTACGCGGTTGAGCCTCAATTTTCAAAACATCAGACGAATTCACAGGAGATGAATCAGAAAGCAAGGGTACGGGCACTTGGAGAGGGTTAATGAACGAGGAAAAAGAAGAAACAAAAGCAGGGAAAGGAACTGATGATGAGGAAGATGAAGGTTTTTTATTAGCATCTACTGCAGCTATAGAACTTATTTTAGATTCACTAAATTTTGTCGCAGGTGATGAAGTAGATGCTGCTGACAATGATGTTGAAAAGGAAAATTTTGGCACCAATGTAGAACTAGTTGCTGTAGATGATGAGACATTAATTGATGTGGTGATTGACGTTTGTGATGGAGTCGGCATAGTTGAAAATGATGATGATATTGATGGAGTCGAGGAACTGAATAATGATGATGACGAATGTGAAACTGGTTTAGGGAATGCAGTAGACTGTGGTACCTTTTCAATTGGCTGGCTTTTGCTTGCTACACTATTGAATTGTGAAACTCCAGCATACGGGGTAGTAGATGTAGGAACAGCAGCTTGAGGTATGAACTGAGAGTTGTTACTGTTAGAAGAACCAAATAGTGTACTCTTTGTCGTAGATGGCACATGTTTCACATCCCCTAAAGCTGAATTTACAAGCACAGTCCCTTTACGATCTGAAGTCAAGACATCAGTAGATTTCTTTGGCGATGAAGCCACCTTGGAGATTGATGACTCTTGATATAGATTAGGTCTAAACTGTAAACTGGATTGACTTTCATTCTCATTGAAAGATGAAGTATTAGACCTCTCACCCTGAGAAGCTCCAAAGTTTTGTTTAGCAACAGGGATACAGCATGTTTCCCCAGAAGGATTCTGCACCATCATAGACTGTGATCCTGATGTTGATGACAAAGCAGTGAAGTTACTTGTTTGAACTGTAGAAGATTTCCACCCAGCAGACTGTGGTGGTTGTAGAGAATTGTTATCCCATTGGAAAACAGTTGACTCAGATTGTTGTTTTGGTAATGCATCTAGACTTCTTGTTTTAACTAAAAAAGTATGGAAGTAACAATTAGCAGCTGGCTACATAAGCAAACAGCTAGTAGTAACTAAACTTAAATAGAAGTACGTAGAGAAATGACTTATCAAGAAAAATAGCATGGATGTAGTAATGCCTCACCTTCCTCATTTCCAGATTTATGCAATGTGGTTGAAGTTGCTGTAAGTTCCTTCAAAAATAAACTTTTTGGTTCCTCATAAGCATAAGGACTAAAGTTCTGCTTATCTTTTAAAAATGATCTTTTTACATTTGCTGATTCTTGCAGAAGCATCCTTTTTACAGTAGTTTTTGGAGGCTCGAAACTAGCCCAGCTCTGCCATAAAACATAAAAACTTGTCACAATTTGTGAAAACTCCCAAGAGTAAAATGGAAGGAGACAAGAATATGATATATGCATGTATCTATAAGAACCCTAGAGATATACCATCCGTAAATATGACAAGTATTAATGTTTGTGGATGCAAAAGAGTTCCAACAAGTAAAACCCTAATAAAAAAAAGTGCAATCAAGAAAATTAGAAATTTTAGAGCTTGAATAAATTTCATTATCTGGATGATTGCTGTCTAACTGTTTGAAAAGATAATAGGTTGCCAATTGGCTTAAAGACTGAAAGTACAAAAAAAATCACAAATGAATTATTTAACAGAGGTTCCTGAAAAATTAGAATTCTGAGGAACAATTATTTACATTCATATTACCACTTCCACCAAAAAAATATTAGTTTATGTCCTCTAATACAGTTGATCAAAAGGCCAAATGCAAAAATGCACAACAGAGAAGGTTCTAGCAAACTTGCCCCATAATGCCCCATATCCTATCATAACCATAGATAAGATCTATTATTTTTCTATCTTTTCCTCGAGAAAAAACTGATAGAATCTCTTCTTTGTAGCTTAGTTTGACTTTGACCTGTTGTCAAAACTATTGATAGATAACAATAACATAAAAGAGGAACAAACAATGGATAATAATGGCGATGTTATGGTTGGCCTTCGTAGTCAATATTATTATTGGCATCAATTATTTGGTAATTATAAGGAAATCAGACTACTAATATTTTTTTAAGAGAAATATTAGATCTTATTTATGAGTATCTTATATCATTATAATTCTTACCTTAGTCGGAGACTTGCTTTAGTAAGTTTTCTTTTAACTCTGTAAACCTCTATTTAAGAGGCCAATTTGGACGAAATAAAGTCCTTTCAACAAGTTCTAAGGTTTCAGCCTCCCTTTTTTTTTTATAAATAACGAGACCTCATTAAAAAACCCCTTCATAACCACTGCTATACAAAAATACATCAGCGAAACACAAGACCTCCCTTTGACGAGCTAATTTATCGATCCCAAACACAAGACCATAACAGGAGAAGGATTCCAATTTTAACTAACAAAAATAAAGAAAAGAAAAGTTGAATAACACAGTATTTTCTGACCAATCTTGAGCCACTTCAGAACACTCAAGTGTATCTTCAACTAGACATTCATAGATAGAAGCAGACACGGATATGAAGTCCTCTATAAGATATTGAAAACATGGAATAGCCCAAAAATATATTACCCTGTCCAGTGAGTCCCTCCTCCTCCTTGAATATTCTGAGTCAGAACTCTTCACAGCACTGGATTGGCTTCTCCTCGACTGATTTCTAGAAGCAGAGGACCCAGAGGAGATAACAAATTTCTTTGAACTATTGCTAGGTTTTGTAGCATGTGGAGAGGTTAGAGAGGCATCATGCGTTATTCCAATCATTTGGAACAACTCCTCCTTCACATTTTGTTGTTTCACAGGTGAGTCTACACTCAGCATAGCCATTTGTTGTGAGAGACGAGCAGAAAGTTGCTCGGCAGCTGCTAGTTGTGAACTCATTGTACTATGTAAAGAATGCAGGGACTGAACGTGTCTGCAATGAAAACTGCTGTGTTAAGCAATATCTGTAAAAGCTACATGTACATATTCACTACCATAAATCTGCAACGCTGTTATAGTTGTAGTGGCTAGAAGACTTTAACAAGAATTGTTGTTGAAAAATCAGGATTAGCTGGTTTTTACTTAGATTCAACCACATACCTATCCAATCCGGTGTATGCCTTGAAACCTGTTCAACATGGTTCTTACCAATTTGCATGTGTGACTAGCATCTTTTTTTAAAACATCACTATTATGTGTTGCATGTATGACTTGCATCTTTTGTTAAACTTTGTACTCAAGTCAGCAGAAAACGATATAAAATTGGATACAAATATGTCGATACATCTTATCATATTAAATTAGAATATATGATTGCAAATAATGCAATATCATAAATAAATTTATTCATTTCTGTTTTTATTTATATAATTTTATACAAGTATTCAGATTTAAATTCTTTTATGTATTTTGATTTTATTTCAGATATTTTTTACATTACCATATATATTTTAAGTAAAATGAGCTTTTTTAAAATTAATTCTTTTTGATAGAGGATTAATGGTATTATATTAAAGTTCAGCATCCTAGCCCAGCGAAGAAGGGCCAAACATGGGTATGACAACCATTATCAAAGACTCGGTGTAACAGAGCGCATAACCAAATATTTTGAACTAGTAAAAAATGTGAACTGGTAAAACTAGGATTAAATCAGTTTTAGGTTTATTCTTTCTTTTTTTTCAAATGCTCTTTTTAAATACTAATATTTGAACATTTACCCTCAAAATCCATATCGAAGGCAATAGTATTTAGCTAGTTGTATATTAACATTCAGTATATTTAATACTTATTTAGATTAAAATTATTTATTTATTATAAATGCTAGAAATAATAGATGGTAAACTATGGGGATAAAAATTACCTTGAAGGCCCAAATCTACTCTGTAAAGCTCTCCGGCTTGCATGAACTCCATCATTATCACCAAATTTATGGAGCTCAAAGGTGTTGAAATGCCTCTCTAATTCAATTAACTGACTGGTCAAGTCCTACAAATGGAAACAGAATGTAATCGTAAAAAAACCCGAAATCAAACATGATGCTTCACAACAACCATTAGCTGACGACACACCTGATTCAATTTCAATATATGTTGCTGCTTAAGCTCAACCTCAGGACTTAACTTTTGGCAATTCCACAGGTCCCAGTATTGGCTATCAGAAGCTTGTTTTATAATTCCTTCTATGTATATTTTCCTTGCTAAAACTGGTAGCCAGTACAAGGATAAAAGGTAAATCATAGAAAACCCAATTCATAAGTATATTAAAAAAAGTGAACCAAGCAAGCTATAAATCTAAAGAATTTAATAAAAATATCAATTCAAACAAACTTACTTTTTTTGTGTTTTACTTTTATATGTTTAATTCATTATAAGTTTCAATAGTTGTAGTAGTAGTACTTTTATTGATTTTTACAGTTTTTGTGTCAAGCAAGTGTCAGGATTGGGTCCTCTTCTGTTTGGATCACTTCACATTCAAGTCAATTCAAGATTCATAAACTTTCCAGTTCAAAAAAATCACAGTTTGGTCACCCAGGATTCATATTTTTTACCCTTCTTTCCTCAGTTTTAACCCAAATTCAATTTCCAACAACTTTGGAGAGGTTTCAAGTTTTGATCAAATTACAGATCTTCAGGTAATCTACGCATCTGATGCAGTCCTCACTCCTCACCATCTGAAGGCTGAAGAATGTTCCTCCAAACTAAAAGTTCTCTCCAATGTTTGTGGGAAATAAATTGCTTTCCAAGATTTTGAAAATATAGTTGATGGAGCCATAAAGAAAGTATTATATAGGTGATTAAGTTACCAAAATTCAAAAAGGAATTGTCGATTGTTTAAATTGCCAAAAAATTAAAATGCTTTTATATGAGATTTTTTAAAACTTGAAGGTACCTTCAACAGTTTTATCAAGAAGATGTTGGATCTTCCCATGCTGCTCGTCCATTACATTCTACAGGACCCACAGACAGTTATGTTGGGAAATCATTAGAACAAAAGCATGTAAAACAATCACATGGAAAACACTTCAAAAATCTGAAGTCAATGAATAATACTACAAATTCTATTGACACTATACAAGGAGAAGACAGAGAATATCGCGCGATCAGGAATACAAGAAAGGATAACTTCATTTCATTTATTATACTAGCTAACCGTTCTCCATTTCATTTATTATACTAGCTAACCGTTCTCCAGCCCTATTCAACTTGGCAAAAAGTAGAAAGTCCAAGAATCAAAATCATGCAGGCTTCCTTTAAATGAAACTATTTGAGCTCAATGTTTTAGAGTAGAATGAATCAAACATTTCATCAATAAGCCAATCTATAAGTTTAAAAACTTGAACAAGTTCAAAAATCTACCTATCCAATCCGTTAGGCATTTTTTCCTTTAATCTTGGTGGGTTTTTTGTGGTACTGCAAGTGAACAATGTTCAATTAACAATTCATGAATAATTTTATCATGTTAATTCGTGTTTGTTTATCAAGCCAGAAAAAATTGCGAACAAGATTTCTAGACTCAACCATTAAACAAAACAAACTAGGAAAGGTTCTATTCCATTTATTTATGTTCACAAACAAACTTATCTATTGTTTGAATATAACATAGTATTATTGTGCTTAAAGGGGACGAAACATGTATAATACATAGTGGAGTGGGCATTTGGTTATTGAAAAAAAATAAAATAGGCAAAGGGAAATAAAAAGTGAGGATTCAATTTCTAGATCCTCAAAGATGTGCTAGCCAGGAAATGCAGGAAGACAAAATGATGGCTCTAACATGGAGTTTTATTCTTTATTCTTCCTTCTTAAAATGCATTGGACAAATGTTTTGAAATTGAAGACCTATTACATGTTGAGTTCTAATCCTAGACATCAAAATCAAAGCACATTAACCAATAAAAAGCAACAGCTAAGTACTAAAATACAATTGAATATATTGACACCATCAATCACTGGTACAAAAGTTACCTTCCAACTCCAGCATTTTTTCAGAAAGAATTGCTATACCCTTCTCCAGCTCTTCGACTGAACTTCTCTGAGAAACAGTGCAAGCATCTCTAAAGCCACCAGTTTCTTCTATAGATTCTAGAAGTGTGTCCAATTCTTTGGCCATTTCTTTAATCTGGTGAGGGAAAAAATGTAAGTGCTGTAGAGTTGCAACCGTTTATTTTTTAGAAAAATACAAAAGCACCAGATTTCTCCCTTGCAGGGATAGATCAAGAACGACATTTATTGCAAAATTTCATTTGTGTGATATAGAAAATAATGAGACAAAAAGAGAAAATTAGGCCAGCTTTTTAACTTCTAATATGCATTTCCTAAAAAATTGCTACAAAACAACGAATGAATAGACTTAAGCCTATGATATTTCACAACCAAAAGGATAATATATTCCAGTACAGATGCTCAAAGTCTTAATTACCAACTTGTACATAAAGCAATTGCAGTTCAACACTCCATGCAAGTACAAGCTAAAACAATGCATATGAAAAATCACATGAACATGCACAGTACAGTGATGAATTGTTTCAATACCTGTGGTTCTGATTTTGACATCCTCGACTGGGTTGCCGATTTGTGGTCATCCTTGAGGGGATAAAGCTTTTGGTTGAGAGGCTTTTCCATTGCAAAATTTAGCTGGGACGATAACTGTGACCCACGAATTAAAGGTACTGACTCAATAATTCCTGCTCCCATTGAAGATTTCTGAGCGAAAGTATCTAATGGTGTGGCTGAAATTTTATCAACAGAAACTGATATACCAGTAGAATCTTTTGGATCTAAAGGTTTTCCAACATTGCTACCAGGAAAGCTTGTGGCACCTCTGGTACTCTGAGAAATATTATACTGAAAAGGACTTGAAAACGAAAATGAACCTCTAGCATCAGACTCCTTTGAAAGCATGAATTTTCCACTTGAAAATGGCTGTGATGATGGATTTGGCCTTAACTGAACTGATGCACTCTGCAGGCCAACTGATCTAGCTTCAGATACTGGTTCCTTAACCAGCTCATTTTTTTTCGGTATGCTCCCACGATTTGGTTGTAATGAGTCTTCCGAAACTTTTCCCACAGAAGAAGCAATAGATCCAAATCCTGGAATTGTTAGAGTTTCTGTTTGACTACCATCCCTCACCTTGTTATCAAGTCCCTCTATTTGAGAAGTCCTCAGAAATGATTGTCCTGAATTAGTACCTTGCTCTCTAAAAAACAATTTTTGTTGAGTACCTGCTTCTTGGTACGGCTTTGAGGTTGGAGGTTTTTGTTGGCATACAGCTTCAAAAGACTGGGAGTTTTTTAAAGACACTGAGCTTTGACTATCATCTTTATGGAATGGTTGTTCAGTAGCATGTCTAACTGAATTCATGTTCACTTGAGAAGGGTTTTCATCACTTTTAATAGGAACACCACTACTTCCATAAGTAAGAGGCTCCGTTTTGCTTTTATCCATGAATGGGGGAGACAAAGCTACCGGTTCTGACTTTTGTTCACCCTGTCCATAAGTAAGTTTAGGTAGATCAAATTCAGCAGATAACACAGCAGGGGTATCCTCTTCTTTATCAGAAAGGGCAGAAATATCAGGTGGAACAGCTTTTTCACTGGCACTGCAGTAAAACCAAGTGCAATTACTAATTGTAAGTAAAGCTTGATGATGATGCCATCATAATGCAGACTTGGTCAGCTGCTTCAAGGAAAAGCTTTGCTTGCAAGAAATATTTAATTAACACAAAAAATAGTGAAGTAAGAAAACACCTTGCAATGTGAAACATGATAAGCTTGCCCTCTAAAGTAAGGCATACAAGAACACAATATGGTGAAAGCTCCTTGACTTCTTCAACGCCAAGTTGCACCTTAACACTCCCAAACGTAGATGCTTTATCAATGCAAAGCCCCATGATCAAATTATCCTCGCCATTATCTAAGCACAAGCCAAATTAACAAAGATTCATCAGATTATAACAAAGTAACATTGAAGCAGCAATCAAGTTGCTGGAAGCTATTGAATACAACAGCGAACCAGATTATAAGAATCAATAGCACATAAAATGACACTATATTGTACCAAGTGTGCTAGTAATGTGATCCTTAATACAACATAGTCGGAAATTCAATTTTAAATTAAACAAGTCAGAAATGTGTATGGGTGTCAAAATGCAAATTTTAGGAAGAAAAATATCACAGGATGTAAAACCAGTAACGAAACATGACTTCTTAACAAAACCTGAAGAAGCACTGCCCAAGTTCTCAACTAGGAACTTTTTCTAGCCCCCTCACATGATGTTTGTTAAATCCATATTCTAAAGGATGAGCACAAAATGTTTTACAAATTGAATATTCAAATGTTTGTGCAAAAGATATTACAAAAGAGAAGACAAGCTATTTCTACAGTCAAAAGACAATTATCACGTGTGAGATAAACCTTGAAGCTCAATCCTGGGGAGCCACTTATCACGTTCAATATCAACAACTGAAGCCTCACTCATCTCACCAAGTGACCAACTGAGCAACACAATATGCTGATCTGTATTCTTTCTGTTAGCAGCAATAGCAAGCTCACTGTAATAATAAAAAGCGAAAAATTACACCTTAACCAAAATTGGGAATTGGGAATTTCTTGAGAGATTGAACAAAATGTAAAAGGTAAAAAGATATGAATGCATAAATTAAAACAAAGAACAGGAGTTAGCTAGTTAATTGATCTTCAAATTATAGAATGTATACAAGTTTTCCATTCATGAACTTGAGGTACAAGTTTAAATCATTGTAACTGAATACCAGAGTTGGCGCTTGCAACTTAAGGGATTAGATTCTTTTTATCTATATCTATAATATATGGTGTAGATATATGAAAGCATAGATGTGTCCTAAACTTTTGGTTGATGAAAAATATTACTTCAATATTGTTTCTAAGTTGTCGTTAAATATTTTTTATTATTCAATTAATAGTAAATTAGAAGCAAAAGGATTGATTTAATGTATAAATAAGAATTCTATTTCTATTGAATCCCTTTTATAAAAATGATGGATGGATATGATTACAGTTTAAACAAAACAAGACAACAAGTATTCATGTGCAACAAGCACCACAACAAATGGCAAACCTCCAAACAAGGAGGAAGAAAAATGCAAGAGTATGAAATTATACCAACTTACCATTCTTCCAAATAGCTCAAAAATAAGTAAGGCCCGGTTCCGAAGGGCACAATGTCATCAATTAGACCCGCAAACAAATCACTGAAGGATAGAAATGGCCAAATCGGAAGTAGTCTGCAATGAAATTGATAAAACATTAATGCATAATAATATCACATTCAAAACAGGCATTTTGTAAAATCAAAGGTTCATCACAAAACAGGAAAAGCAATAGGTTGGTTGCTGAGCAACATAAAGACATTTTCTTAATTTGGGGTATGGGGATTCAATCCGTGCTATTTAAACAAGAGATCATGCACCAACCAACTTATGCTAATAATAGGTGCTAAAGACACCTTTTGAATATATTGGTATAAGCCCTACTAATTAGCAATTCAAGTAAAGAAATGTGCATTGCCAAAAAATAATTAGCATTCATAAAGATCATGATTTCATTGAAGGTAGGAATCCCAAACATCTAGGGAGGTAGAAAACGTATGTCCCTCTCCTTTTGAGTCAATTCATGGAAATTAAAGATATACATTTTGGGGGAATTTTTCCATGCAAACCCTTGAGTTCTAATAACAGTAGAAAAGTCTAATGCTAATGATGTTGACAATCACAAATATAAGAGTTCATTATAGCATTCACATATTCTCCATCTATACGAAGTTAAAACTCTGAAAGCAAAGTAACTGCCAAGATAAAACTATAAAAATTGGCAAAGCAAGGCAGAATTTTGCCCACCCCAAAAAACAGCTTACTCGATGTCCTCTTAACCCAAACCCACTCCACCAAAACAATATGTTTATAATTTTTAGTGCCTTACTACACCCGAGAAAAACAGGCATAACCTGCAAAAATCAGGGGATTTATAGTTGTCTTAAGATCGAGAACAGTTTTAAATATTGAATATGAAGAATAAATCATCTCGGTGGTGGCGGGTTCAAGAGTCTCGCAACAAGCAAAATAGTGAACAGTATTTTGGACAGTTGCTATTCCACTTGATGGCTTTTTATAGTTGGATCATGGCTGAATAGTGAATCACTCTAGGATTATGACAAACAGGACGGGATATAGTTTTTTTTATAGTAGTAGGAGGCCTCATTAAAAACCTCCCTCATAGTTACCTCATGAACAGAGGCAACTAGCGGAAGGAGGAAAAGAGTGCCTCAATTTATTAATAACTCAAAGTAGTACATCAGGGTAAACTAGTACACCATAAACACCAGCATAAGAAGAAAACCCTACAAAAAACCTCTTAAAAAACAGAAAAAATTCAGCCAATCCCCTGTTTAGCCAAAGTATCTGCCTCATAGTTACAACTCCTAGGAATGTGTCTAACAATAATCTACCTAGCCGTAACTAGAGATACAATTTTCCCAACCATAGAACTAAAAAAAAGGAGCAGAAGTCGGCAACAAAATCCAGTCCACAGCTACTTTGCAGTCACTCTCTATAATCAATCTTCCCTCCTCAGCCCAAGTAGATGCAAGAAAAAAATCAATGTCTTTCTCAATGGCTTTCAATTTAGCCATAGGAGGAGGACAAGGGCCAACATTATTCGAGAAGGACCCTAAAGTATTGCTATTTGCGTCTTTTAAAATGCCACCAATTCCACCCTGTAGCCCTTCACCTCTGACCGCCCCGTCAACATTAAATTTGAAATAATGTGTTGGAGGAGGAAGCCAACTCTGAACATTCTTTCTTTTAAAGATAGGACTAGGAAGTTTGTCTGCAAGAGTTGGGTCCTCAACTAGTGAGTCAACCTGAGTAGTGACATTCAGATGCTTAGCAACATACCATTTCGCCAATCTGAATTTGGAAATGAAGAATAAAGATGATCTGTCCAGTTTCAAATTATCAAAAACCACCGAATTCCTAGCCTTCCATATTGTCCAGAAAACAACTCCTGGTAAAAATTTCCAAATTGTAGAGTTTGCCCTTATATCAGACCAAGAACTTAGCAGTGAAGGTGGATCTTTAGGTAGAACCGTAGAGATATCCCATAACCTGAAAATTTTGTTCCATAATTCCCCTGCAACCGAGCACGAAATGAATAGATGTTGGACAGTTTCTTCCTTGTTTAAACAAAACGGACATAAGACATCCTCCAATGGGACACCCCTTCTCTTCAACTCCGTTCTAACTGCCAATTTTTGGTGGGAAAGCTGTCAAAGAAAGGTTTCGACTCTGGGAGGAGCCAAACCTGACCAAACCCACTTGTTCCAATTGAAAGAACCACCCAGTTTGAAAGATAGTGTCGACCTGTATGATTTAATCAAGAACAGTCCATCTCCCTTCCCTGACCACAAAAGGAAATCATCCACTGAGTCAGACAATACAATATTCTCAAGCAAAGACATTAATTAAATCCATTGATCCAATTCCCAATCACATAGATTCCTCCTAGATTAAATGTTCCAAACCCATCCATTATTCTCAAAACAACCAAACTCTGACACTTTTCCCCACTTGTTATTTGATAATGCAAAAATCCTTGGAAATTGATTTTTTAAAGAATCATCATTTACCCAAACATCATTCCAAAATGATATAGATTTACCATTGCTCACTTGGATCTTAGAGTGAGATCTCAAACCTTCTCCAATTTCATCTTTTTTCAAATAATTGTTAATGATACCTATCCAAATCCATGAGTCCATAGGACAAACTACCTGTCAATTGATAAGGACAGATTACTCACATTATGCTTGCTACAAATCATTTTTTTCCATTGGGTATCCTTTTCATTTTCGAACTTCCAGATCCATTTACCAAGCAGCACTATGTTTAGAAAATTCAGATCCATAACTCCCAATCCTCCATCTTCCATGGGTTGACATACCATTTTCCAATTCAACCAGTGAATACGATTGTTTGCTGCTCCCTCCACTCAAAGAAATTTGGCCATCAACGTCTTAATCTTCTTATATACCTTACTCGGTATTTTGAAAATTGAAAGGAAAAAAATCGGCAATGAGGACAATACTGACTTCAACAACACCAATCTACCCGCCATTGACAGTGATGAAGCTTTCCAACTTGATAATTTTTTATTAAATTTCTGGATGACTGGATCCCAGAGAAGCTCAAAATTTTTCTTTGCACCTAAGGGAAGGCCTAGATAAACCGTAGGAAAAGAACCCACTGCACAACCAGCCTTAGTAGCCTATTCCTTTAAGATGCCTTCTTCCATATTAATGCCATATAAATTGCTTTTTGAAAGATTTAGATAAAGCCCTGTCATTACGCTGAAAATCCTCAGCACTCTCCTAATATTTAGAATTTGTGTAGGAGAATCTCGGCAAAACAGAATAAGATCATCAGCAAACTGTAAGTGGGTTAATTGAAAGGGATCCGATCTTCTAATAGTAAACCCTTAAAAGAGGCCCAGATCGGCAGCTTTAGTCAGCATAAGATTAAGAAGTTCTCCAACTATATTAAACAAAAGAGGGGACAAACTACATCCTTGTCTCAACCCTTTAGCCATAGAAAATTCCTCCGTTGGAGAGCCATTCACTAGTACCGAGATTGATGCCGAAGAAAGACAATTTTCTATCCATGAAACCCATCGTTCGCCAAAACCCATGACTCTCAATAATCTCAGGAGAATCGGCCATTCTATCGAATCGTATGCTCTCTGAAAATCAACTTTGAAAACGACCCCTCTCAACCCTTGCTTCCTCCAAAAATGAATGCCTTCATTTGCAAGAAAGGCACAATCTAACAGAGTTGTCTCCCAGGAATAAAAGCAAACTGGGAGGGCTCACAATGTCCTTAATAACTGAAACAAGTCTCTTCGATAGAACTTTTGAGATAATTTTGTAAAGATTGCCCACTAGACTAATAGGTTTGTAATCTTCAATACATTCCGGATTAATTTTCTTAGGGATCAAAGAAATAAAGGTGTGATTAACTCCATGCTCCCATTTCCTTCCACAATAGAACTCATCCACAAACTTCATAATTTTCAGCTTTAGAGTAGGCCAGAATTTCTTGAAAAATTCCATCGTAAAACCATCAAGTCCAGGGGCTTTAGCACTATCCGAAGAGAAAATAGCCTCCCTAACTTCTGCTCTGAAAATTTAACCTCAAGACTCGTCCTTTGTTCGACACTCAATTTTGCAAACGTAAGTTGAAAGTCTTCTACCTCCAGAGTATCTTTTGAATTATAAATTCTCTTGAAAAAATCATAGACATAGGACTTAATTCGAGCTGAATCTGTTAATTCCTCTCCACCACATTCAATGCAGAAATGTTATTGATTATGTTTCTGTTAAGAGCACATAAATGAAAATACCTTGTATTTCTGTTACCATCTTTAATCCATTTCACCCTTGACTTTTGAAACCAAATACTTTCTTTAATCCTATGCATTTTCCATAACTCCTTTCTGTATAGCAAGAGTTGTTCCCATTCATATGAAGAAATCCCACTTCCTTGCGCCTTCAGCTCCAAATCATTTATTTTGCTCTCAAAATCTGTGATAGCTTCTGAAATCCCCACTTGACTTCTGTTCGACCACTTCCTGATCTTTTTAGTTCCCTGTAAAAAGATGAAAATTCCCCTTCTCCCTCTATCCAATTCCAAAGCTTTAATTTCTTTCTGAACCGCATCTACAAAACCATCTTCCTCTAACATGTAATGAAAAAACCTAAAAGGTTTAAGGCCCCAGTTTTTGCAATCTTCCTCCAGCAGCACCGGATTGTGATCAGAGAGTGATTTAGGAAGCATTCGCTGTATCATTTTTGGAAAGCAATTTAAAAAATTGCCACTGATTAAGAAGCAATTTAATCTTACCCATGTAGGAACCACCCTATTGCTACACCAAGTGAAGCTCCCTCCTAATAGAGGAAGATCTATTAGATTTGTTTGTTGCACAAAAGACCTGAGCAAATCCATTGAATGTCAGTTCTGTGAAACCCCAATTTTTTCTGCTTGATCAAAATATGCATTGTAATCTCCCCCGATGCAGATTGGCAGGTTTAAGCTTTGTACAAAACTCAAAAGCTCCCTAAAAAACTCCTCTTTTTCAACCTCTACTGCCGAACCATAAACGTTTATTATAACACACTCCACATTTAACACCTTGAACTTTCCTCTTGCAGACCCCTCGGTTGGTTGAAAGCTTCCTCCCTTCAACAGATTTCCCCCTAATTTCCAGCTTAGCCCATTTAGTTGTTTATTTAATTTTGTCTCCTGTAAGAGCAATATGGCTGGTTTATTTTTATTGACAAGTCTAGACACTGCTCTAATTTTTTCCCTTCTCCCTAAACCCCTTATGTTCCATGAAATAATTTTAAGATTTGACATTATAATGTAAAATCTTAAAAACCCTCCAAAAGAAGATTAAATTAGTCTCTTTCTTTCGCATACCCCTTCCTTTCCCTCTTCATTATCTCTTCTTCTAGCAACTGTCGGCCCCCTTTGAAAGTAATCCCCAACAAATCACATACTTCCCTAGTAACAGCAGCCTCGTTCCTAGCTTTAATTGAAGATTGGGAAGACTTTGGGGACGATCTGTCTTGTTCGAAAGATTCCCTGACCCTTCTTCTAGACACCCTTCTATAAACTCTGTCATGAAAACTGATTGACTTCACCCTCAGAGCACACACTACCTGAACGAAGTGGAGCGATTCTTAACCACCTGTGATTAATTAGACTTTTTGCCCGAGAAAAAATTGAACGTGATTTTTAAAAGAGGACTGCATATTATCCTTTATTATGATCTGACCATCCAAAATTGGCTCTGACCGAATTCCATTTTGATTCACAGAGTTTAACTCCCTTACGCACGAACTTGAAAAACTGTCTTCATTAAGGCCAATTCGGTTATCATCCTTAACCATCTTCATATTTTTTGGAAAATCTCTTTGTTCAACCGAAACTCTACCCCTCATATATCTGTAGAGGACAGTGTAATAATTGCATGTTTCCCGTTTCGACTGCTGGAGCCAGCAAACTGCTCTGTAACCATATCTACGTTATGCTTTCTGTTTGAAGATTCTTTCTCCCCCCTATATGTTCTTTCAACAACCTAAACTCACCCTCGTCATCAACATCCATAGGCAGGGTTTTAAAAAACGGTCCGCGACCGCGATTTCGGCCGCGATATAGCGGTTTCGCCGCTGTCCGAGTTACCCGCGACGGCCGCAATCACGGTAAATCCAAAATAACCGAAACCACGACCGCGATTTGAAACCCTGCCCATAGGACCAGCTGAAATGTATTTGGGCTGGGGTATAAATCTACCCTTATCATTCTTCTCTCCAATCCACTTTGGAATAAATGCAGGCCCAGTAGGAATAATTTTCAGAATCTGACCATAAGGACTAAAGTAATCCCTTAACACACCTCTTGAAACCCTCTTACTAAGATTATCAATGAACACAGTCCATTCCTCATCGGAGGTGATGGACTTTTTCAAATTTTCTCTAACTCTCTCTCTACCTATCACACTCATTCTCTCACTTCCAGAAAATGTAAAATCCCTATCCCATCAATCAAACACTTTCCAGGACGGGATATAGTTAATGAAGGGACAATAATGAAACAAAAGGAATTCATAGAAGAAGCAATCAATAACCAGAAAAGAACACTGCCAAAGTGAAAGCCCAGAAGATGATGCCAAAGAAACACATATAATTTACATATTCAACTCTAAAGACAAACCAAATGCAGACGTTACTATCCAAATAGCAAACTCCAAATTAACCTCTCTGTCTACTAACCACCATATCAATTGCAACAAGCAGTGAAGATGATAAACTAAATCTTATCCCAAAAAAATTCAAAAAGAAACTCATTAATTTACTGTTAGGGGATTAGTAATTACATCGGTGATTTTTCCTGTCTTGCTTTTGACTACTTGGACAAGGTAATTTTCCTCTTGTGCATCTCCAGTAAACTGAAAGCATCCGAGAATAATGCAATCGGAACGAATCCACCTGATTGTATCCACTGACAAAATTATGGAAATAAAAACTGTTCAGTTTCAAAGGGTGTAGAAAAATTGAAATTTTAAACATAAATGATAGAAAATATATAAGTAGATTAGCATATGATTTTAAGAATGTGTTTAGGAATAACCACGATTGATGGAAAAACAAAATCATACACATAAAAATGTGAATATTAAATACACCTTAAATACTGCAGCTGCAGAACTAGAAAAACTAAATAATAACTTAACCTGAAATAACAGTGATATCTCAATTGCAATTTTTTATGTGGAAATTGAATTTTGACCTCAAAAGGTTTTTAAGGAACACAATTTAACACTTCAACATATGTATGCAAACAATATACCATCCAACATTGAAGTCTATGATTTTATGTGTTTACCAATAACCAGGATTGGTGGAACAAGAAGATCATACACATTATAATGTAAAAAATTCACTTCAAGTACTGCAGCTTCCAGAACTAGAAAAATTAAATAAAATTTAATCCGAAATAAATTTTTAACATGAAAATTGAATTTTAAGGTCAAAATATGAATACAATTGAACACTTTAAGATAAGCATACAACACAATAGCTTACCACACTGAAATTAATGCCATCAAGAATTAAATGCCAAGCATGAACTCTACATTAAGGTGCCATAGAATTTATTTCAGTTCACTTTCCTAAAATGAAAAAAGGAAATCTTATCTTTTTGACAAAGTAAGAACAAATTCAACATCTACTATGATTATAAAGATACAATTACAAACAGGAATAAGGTGATATATGGCTAACATGTAAGAAAGATATAGAAGCAAATTCAACCTAAAATTTAAATGAATCTCTAGGTAAAAATAAAATAAACTCACCTTTTAAAGTGCAATCATCGGAATCACCAACCCAGGACTTGAATGGAAGAGCTATGCATAATTTCTCAGTGAGACCGGATGACAAAATACTAAGAGTATTATCTTTTGCAACAGCAACAGAAGCACCTTTTACACTCCATTCAACTAAGAAAAGAAAATGGATATTGATAGATCTTAGAACATAAAAAATTCCAAAAGGTGAAAAGAGGAAGCAAGATGAGAGAATTTGATGTTTATAGCAGTCTTTCATTAGATACTGTTCATACAATGCTAATGCATAGCTAGGTACAACTAAAGGAAGGGAAAATATGAACAAATTAGAGAAGAATATAAGGACCTTAGAATTTGATTAGGAAAAGGACAAATCACAATGGTGTTATTTAAGCTACACGCAGAACAAAAGAATTGAATAATGTTTAGTGATGATTGATAATTGAAAGATAGATATTCAGAGATACCAGCATCAACATCGTCCATCACATGCTTAAGAGGATGAGAAATAGTTCCGTGATATAGCTTTCTATCATCCGAAAGAACAAGGAAAGAATTATCTTTCCTTTTTCTCCATTGAATATCCTTGACAACGCTTGACCCAGATAACAAAGTGGAGAAACATGGCTTTATATCCTACATATAGGCAGAGTCCAGCATGAACATGACATAATATTAGAAACAGCCTCCTAATTATAATGAAAGAAACAATACCTTAGTTAGTAGGGAGTTGACACTGAAAAAATTAATATCAGCCGCAACAGAAGCCGCAAGTATGGTATCGTCAGTGGTGGAAAGAGCAAGGATGTGAACCTTTCCAATGGGAACATCCACCACACTCAGATCTTCAATGCTAGAAGAGGTGCCATTTTCCTTAATGTCCTTAGCCAAATCAATCACATCCTTGGTCCTCGCCACCAAGAACCCTATAACATTAGATAAACTTTAAATTTATCTATTTATAAAATCTTTTAATCAATTGACACGAAAAAAATACATTTTACAAGCGCCTAGCCAAATCAATTACATTCTTGGTCTAGGAAATCAAGAACCTTAAACATTTAGCTTTATTATATCAATCATTTATTAATTAATCAAATAAAAAACGTTACAATTTACAAGAGCAAAAATACAAAGAAAGATTTTAAACTGAACACACCAGAAGAATGAGCTAGAAACAGCAGCTGTAAACGTTGGCTGAGGGCGAGAGGCTTTGAAGGAGGGCTTTGGAGATCAAACTGGAAATCTGACCTGACAGGTACGGGTTCACCGATTTTCTCGAAGAAGAAATCCTTGGTTTCGACATGTTCCCCTTCCTTCTCTTCCTTAATTTCAAGCTGGAAGAATGAGCTAGAAACAGCAGCTGTAAACGTTGGCTGAGGGCGAGAGGCTTTGAAGGAGGGCTTTGGAGATCAAACTGGAAATCTGACCTGACAGGTACGGGTTCACCGATTTTCTCGAAGAAGAAATCCTTGGTTTCGACATGTTCCCCTTCCTTCTCTTCCTTAATTTCAAGCTGTCTGCCCATTATCGGTATTCAATTAATCAACTTCTCTAACATCAATCAGTCGTTTATCCGATCAGTTCTATAAGTGCTTCCCGGCTAGGCAGCAGAATGCTCAACAAAACCGTAACGCTAGCAAGATACCCTCGACGGCAAAACCTTGTGTAATATGAAAAATGGGAGGCCAATATGTCTAGTATCATCATAGGCTAACTGATAGAATAAAAAAAAGATAAAATATACTAGTGATCATCAAACTATAACTTATTTTTATCTTGACCACTATTTTTTTTTTTATTCAATTAAATACATTCAATCAAGTTACATACTATTAAAAAACTAATTGCACGTCTGACATGTATTTTTCATGAATTTTTTTTGCCATGTTGGATATCATAATGACACCTCACAATGTCACGTTAAAAAACTTTGGGCAATGTCTCTTATTTAAAGGAACCCTAATTCACATATTCTTATATTTTCTCATTTTCTAAATCATAAAGAAATTGTTGAAAAAAAAAGAAGAAAAATAGTGAAGTGAAGGAGCTCATTTAACAATATAGATATAGAAAACGTGAATCGAGTTTACTTCTATGGTGCTCATTCAACAATAACTACCGGTTGGACTAACTAAAATTATGGCAGGAGGTTTTGGGTTGTGAAAATTATAGAAAAGGGTTAGGGTTTGCAAGTTCTTTTTCCAGTGTGATTCACTAGTGAGTTATCGGTCGAAGGTTGTTATTGTTGGTCTTCTAAGAATGGTTGGGGTCATGGACCAAGAAAGGAAGAAACAAAAATTTCTTTGGAATTTAACTTTTATTTTGTTCTTTGTGGGATTGATAGTGGAAATTATCATCTCTTAACTTAGTAAAGAGAATCGGTGACTGAAGCTTTAAGATGTTTGTGTTTAGATATTGTGTAATGTTAAAATCGAAGATTTAAAAAGTATTAAGTTAATGTAATGTGTTTAGGATGTTGTGTAATGTGGAAATATCTTATTAATTTAATGTTGCAATTGTAGCCAATTGAGGATGCTAGTGTGTAACACCCTAATCCAACTCGACCCGAAGTTTGAAGGACTCGGATGTCACAGGGAACCACCAAAGTGGATAACCATTTTTTTCATTTAAAAAACCATATATTTATGAAAAGACATTAATGATAGTCATAAAATACTTTTACAAACCGGAGCTCCGTGACACGTAGTTTAAATCAAAATAATAAAATCTTAGAGTATACAAATCTGAATATAACAATAAGGGTTTTATGAATACACATGTCCACTACAAGTAACCAATCAATACTATGTGAGGAATGTTGGAAACCTTGATGCGACGGTGCTCTCCTCAAACGGCTCAATATAATAACATGCGTACAGAAACACATTCTTAACGCTGAGCTCACAAGCTCGGTGCCACACAAATAACACAACTATACTACATGTATCCAACAAATGAGTATGCTACAAGTATGGTTATGAACATTAAAGTACATTTAACCCATAACAACAAAAACAAGCATCATAGTGCAGTCTAGGGTCACAAAAGCATTACGGAACTCACACCCCTATTTGTTCACTAAAGGTATCTTACGTGAGATTTGGGTCACATAACATTAACATCTCATAAGTACCCTAGGCTAGGTCTGGGTCACATAGCGTCAGCACCTTGTCAGGATAGTATACTCCTTTAGAGTACGCAGAACGCGTCTAGGTCACATAATATCAGCACAATGTTCAACTAGCGTTCTAATTACCCATGCACTATATCGGATATATTCGGATAATCCTTTACTCTACTAGACAATCGTCATACAAAGTGACTCGGGTGATATCGTTGTTTCCCGAGTACCAAACAAGGCATAAGTCTTATGGAATCTTACCTTATTAAGATCTTATGTTATCACACAATTGTTAATCATTTCACTTGCAAGCTTTTATTAGTGTTCCCTTTTGATTCTAACCATTACCTAAATCCCTTGACAAAATGAGGTTTTAGCCATTTTTATCACGTCAATACCAATACTATGCCACATAATATCGATACTTGCCTCACTTTGATACTAGTACTGTTTCGATTATTGATATGATTTAGGTATACCGGAATTTACAAAGTTTCCCTAGTATCGATATTGAACCCTAAGTATCGATACCCTATGAACAGTACCGATGCCCTAAGAATTGGGTATCGATACTTCTATACAAGACCCTTTGGTTTTCATCCTAATAGACGAACAATATCGGTACTAATTCTATAGTATCGATACCCCAAACCCAAATTACCCTATTTTTCATTAGTGTAACACTCTAAATCTCTCCTAAAACCCTCAGAAGGTCTCCAACATTATTTAAAGCTTATTTAGGTTCAAGGATCATAAAAGGTCTTTGATTTTACATGAAATAACACCAAATACTCATTTTCATGCTATAACCCAAATGCACCCCAAATGTTTCATACACATATACAAGCAACAACACTAGACCTGCTGATCTACAAGCGATATAAAGATGTTAGAAATGTGTAACCCTACTACTAGATCTTGGAGAATCAACCTCAAGCTCAAAAAGTTCCACCTTTTCTTTTCCCTTGACCTTAGAGCTTTCTCTCACTTCTCTCACTTAGTAAAATTGATTTAGGGATAT